CTTCACATGTACCCCAAAACCTAAAATGCAATAAAATAAATAAATGGGAAAAAAAAAAAAAGGATTAACTTCTTCTTCTTGTTTTTGAGACAGAGCCTCACTCTGTTTCCCCAGCTGGAGTGCAATGGTGTGATATTGGCTCACTGCCTTCCCGGTTCAAGAGATCCTCCTGCCTCACCCTCCCTAGTAGCTGGGATGACAGGTGCCCGCCACCATGCCCGGCTATTTTTGTGTGTGTGTGTATTTTTAGTAGAGACAGGGTTTCGCCATGTTGGCCAGGCTAGTCTCAAACTCCTGGCCTCAAGTGATCCTCACCCCCTTGGCCTCCCAATGTGCTGGGATTACAGGCGTGTGCCACCATGCCCGGCCCCCACCCAAAAGGATTGAAAGCAGGATCTGAGAGAGGCAGGTGCCCACCCACATTCCCAGAGGCATTACTCACAGGAGCTGAGAGATCAGAGCTGCCCACGTGTCCACCAACAGGTGAGTGAATGGGCACGAAGCGCTCCATCCATACATCCGGAAACTGTTCAGCTAAACAGAGGAAGGGGCGTCTGACACCTGCCGCAGCGTAGATGGACCTCAATGGCATCAGGTTCCATGAAATCAGCCAGTCATGAAAGGGCCGGTACCGTATGCTTACACACACATGGGGTTTCTATAGCACTAGAATCTGCAGAGGCAGAAAACAGAACGGTGGGTGCCGGGGAGTGCAGGGTCGGGGGGGATGGAGCGTGAGAGTTTCACGGGACATGAAAGAGTTCTGGAGACAAGTGCTGAGGGGTGCACAACAGCATGACTGTGTTTAATGCCACTGGCCTCTGCATTGGAACGTGGTTATCATGGTGATTTTCTGGGATGTGCATTTTACTACAATCAAAAATTAAAATAGGACAGGCATGGTGGCTCATGCCTGTAATCCCTGCACTTTGAGAGGCTGACACAGGCAGATCACTTGAGGTCAGGAGTTCAAGACCAGCCTGGTCTCGAACATAGCAAAATGCTGTGTCTACTAAAAATACAAAAATTAGCCAGGTGTGGTGGTGCACGCCTGTAATCCCAGCTACTCAGGAGGCTGACTGAGGCAAAAGAATCGCTTGAACCTGAGAAGCAGAGGTTGCAGTGAGCTGAGATCGTGCCACTGCACCCCAGCCTGGGAGACAGAGAATCTGTCTTTAAGAAAAACTAAGATAAAAAGAGTTTGGCTATGGACCAAGAGAGACAGTCAGGAAGACAGACAACGGGGTGGGCTTCCCTCGGGAACTGAGGCAGAAGCAGGGAGACTGAGGGAGGAGCTGAGACTGCATGGGTAGGTGAACGCAGTGACCAGGTGGGCACAGAGGGGCCAGAGAGAGAGGGACAGAGCTGGTCCCAGCCACACAGTGGCAAGTCCTCAGGTCTCACAGCCCCTCCACGAACATGCAAGCCTCCATGCATGCACAGGTTTTCATGCTCACATCTGCACATGCTTACACATATGTGCTCGTAACACACGTGTACAGCTCACCCTCATCAAAGCCCAGCTGGTACCTGATGTACAATCTCAGGTGGGTGACATTCTGGAGACAAGGCAGGGAGTGGCTCAGGGCTTAGTGGGCGCAGGGCTGACAGCAAAGGCTGGTAAGGGAATTCGGGGAGGTCGGTGTTGGTTTGGGTCTTTTTTTTTTTTTACTGAGATGGAGTCTTGCTCTGTCGCCCAGGCTGGAGTGCAGTGGTGCAATCTCGGCTCACTGCAACCTCCACTTCCCAGGTTCAAGTGATTCTTCTGCCTCATCCTCCCAAGTAGCTGGGATTACAGGCACCTGCCACCATAACCAACTAATTTTTGTATTTTTAGTAGAGACGGGGCTTCACCATGTTGGCCAGGCTGGTCTCGATCATGATCATATCTGTAAGATGGTCAGCATTTGTCAAAATTCATAGAACAAAACACCAAAGGGGTGCATTTTACTGTATGCAAAATATACCTCCTTTTTTATTTTTGTTGTTTCAAGAGACAGAGTCTGGCTCTGTCACCCAGGCTGGAGTGCAGTGGTATAATGATGGCTGAGTGCAGCCTCCACCTCCTGGGCCCAAGCGATTCTTATGCCTCAGCCTCCAGAGTAGCTGGGCCTACCGGGCCACCACACCAGGCTAATTTTTTTTTTACTTGTTGTAGAGACAGGGTCTTGCTATGCTGCCCAGGCTGGTCTTGATCTCCTAGGCTCAAACAATCTGCCCACCATAGCCTCCCAAAGTGTTGAGATTCTAGGCATGAGCCCCCCCCCACACTCAGCATTTATATCATTGTTTAAGTTAAAAATAGAAGAAAACAAAACACAAGCCTAGCCAGGAGCCCTGTTCTTAGCTCCCTAGACCTGGCTCTGGGGAATGCGGGGTCCCTGGGCCACTCCCATCCTATGGCTCTGTCCTTCGCAGCTATGTTCCAGGGGAAGAGAGTGAGCCTGTCACATATATGCCAGACAGAGAGTGCCCACACACTGCCCTGACGCTGGGAGGCCCTGGAGAGAGCTGCAGGGCTGTGAGCAGCTCAGAGTGTGTCGCTTTTGCTGAGCAGCCAGTAGGTTCCTTGCCCAGGACAGTGAGTCAGGAACCTGGCTGCCCGATCTTGTTCCCCTTTTCTCTAGGGCTACCAGGAAGGTCAGAGCTGAGGCTGAGGCCCAATAACAGCAAATGCAGAGGACCCAGCACCAGCACACACATGCTCTGTGCTTCTGTTACTGCCTTGACAGTCTATTCCAGCATTTCTCTCCCCAGGTCCAATTCTGGAATTCATGCCCTTGTCTGATTTATAACCCTCTACCTGCGTGCACCCTGCCGTCTCCCCAAAGGACTGCGGGCTGGGACTGTCTCCTGGCTACCTCTGCAGAGCCAGCACGGGGTCAGGCTCAGCAGGTGCCTGTGACGTCAATTACAGATGCCAACACCTTCCAAAGACAAAGTGCTTTGTCATCAGGTGACTGGATGGGGAGAGAGGGATCCAGATAAGAGATGATAGACAGAGAAAGAGAGAGAGAGAAAGGGAGACAAAGACAGAGATAGAGACAGACGGACAGACCAAGGAAGACAGAAAGAAACAGGCAGACAGACAGACACAGAAACAGATAGAGACAGACCATGAGAGAAAGAGAGACACACAGACAGGCAGGAATGGCAGAGAAAGAGACAGACCAAGAGAGACAGAAACGAGAGAGACAGAGATAGACAAAGAGACAGAAGACAGAGACAGACAGACCATGAGAGACCGAAGGAGACAGGCAGACAGCCAGAAAGAGACAGAGAGAAAGAGACAGAGAGAGACACACAGACAGACAGACAGACAGACAGGCTGAGAAAGAGACAGAGATAGTCAGACAGACCAAGAAAAAGAGAGACAGACATAGACACAGACCGACAGATAGGCTGAGAAAGAGAGACAGACAGACCAAGAGAGAAATGAGAGAAAGACAGAGATAGACCAAGAGAAAGACAGGGACAGACACAGACAGAGATGCAGAGACAGACAGATAGACAGACAGACAGACAGAAGACAGAGCCAGACCATGGGAGACAGAAGGAGACCGGCACAGACAGAAAAGGGAGGAGAGAGATGGAGACAGAAAGCAAGCACACAGACAGAGAGGCAGGTAGAGAAAGAGAAGAGAAAGACCAAGACAGAAACAGACAGACCGAGACAGTCAGACAGACAAAGAGAAACAGACAGACTGACAGAGACGACCGAGAGAGACAGAGACCAAGAGAGACAGCAACAGACAGACAGAGACAGACAGCGAGGGACAGAGACAGAGAGACAGAGACAGGGAGAGGGATGCACTGGCTCCCGGCCTCCCAGGAACATGCAGAATTTCTCAGAAGAGGAGGAGGAGGACCTCCCTCCTCCAAGCAGGGAGTGAGGAGAATAAGACACCTCCATCCCTCCACCCACCCTAGACCCAGCCCCAGCCCAGTCACAGTGCCTCACCGGAGGGTTCTGTGGCCTCTGCTGCCCCCTAGAGGTGCTTTCTGGCAACACATGCACTCCCGACCCGGCTTCCCAGTGGCTGGAGGCAATCCAGGTGCTCATCCTTACCACCCTCATCCCTGCCAGACCCGACTCAAATCCCCTCCCGGGACTCGTGCACCTGGGGTTCGTGGGTGCTTCTGTGAAATGCCAGCCTCCCTGGCTACACCTACTGCAAGTATTTTTCCTTCTTTTCCCTTTTGATTTCTTTCGTGGTTGTAAAAGTAAAACGTTAGCTATAGCCGGGTGCAGTGGCTCACACCTATAATCCCAACACTTTGGGAGTCTGAGGTGGGAAGATTTCTTGAGCCTGAGAGGTCGAGGCTGCAGTCAGCAGAGCTCGTGCCACTGCACTCCAGACGGGGCAACAGAGTGAGACTCTGTTGAAAACAAAACAAAAAAAACAACAAAAACGTCAACTATAAAAAATTCATATAGAATATGTGTGGACATGGAAGCACAAGTCCCACCTAATTCTGCCCCACCACCCCAGTTGAGCTTGGTGACACAGCATCACTGAGGGCCTTCTCAACCAGGAGGGAGGTCCTGTATTTCCAGGAGCTCTTTGCTTATGGGCTCCTCTCCTTCTTTTTCACAGCTGTCTTCCTAGGGGAGCATTTTCTCCTTCCTTTCAAATCCCTTTGAAATGATTTCCTTTCCCACTTGTTGGCAGTAGCGTCATTTCTGCTTTTCCTGGCTCTGCCTTGACCTGCAGCCCTTTGCTTATTGCCCATCTTATGGAGGTAGTGGGGGGTCCTTGGACCAGCTTCCAGCAGAAAATGCTCATCGAGTGAATGACCAAGCAAACATTTCTCTTATGGATGGATGGATCAGCAGATGGATGGGTGGGTGAATGAGTGGATGGATGGATGAGTGAATTCATGTGTGGCTGGATGGATGAGTGAATTCCTGGGTGGGTGGATGGATGAACGGATGGATGGATGGATGGATGGATGGATGGATGAGTGGATGGATGGGTGGATGGGTGGATGGATGGGTGGTTGGATGGGTGGATGAGTGGGTGGATGGGTGGGTAGATGGATGGAAGGGTGAATGCATGGATGGATGGATGGATGGATGGATGGATGGATGAGTGAATTCATGAATGGATGAACAGGTGGACAGATGTGCAAATGGATGAGTGGGCAGATGAATGGGTTGGTGGATGAATGGATGAACGGATGGGTGGGTGGATGAATGAGTGGATAGATGGGTGGTTGGATGGATGGATGGATGGATGGATGGATGAATGGGTGGGTGGATGGATGGATGAGTGAATGAATGGATGAATGGATGAGTGAATTTATGAGTGGGTGGATGGATGGGTGAGTGAATGCATGGGTGGGTGAATGGGTGAATGAGTGGATGAGTGAATGCACGATTGGGTGCGTGGATGGATGAGTGAATGGAATGGGTGGGTGGATGGATAGATGAGTGAATGCATGGATGGATGGATGAGTGAATTCATGAGTAGGTGGATGGATAGGCGAGTGAACACATGGGTGGGTGAATGGATGAATGAGTGGATGAGTGAATGCATGAATGGGTGGGTGGATGGATGGATGAATGGGTGGGTGGGTGGATGGATGGATGGATGGATGAATGGGTGGGTGGATGGGTGGATGAGCAGATGAATGGGTGGGTGGGTGGGTGGATGAGCAGATGAATGGGTG